GAAGCTCAACGTCTAATCCAATACATCGCCAGGGCTCCCCAGGCAGGTTCAAACCACCAATTTTTAGGTTAATGATCAAGCAAAAATACCGTATATAATCGTGTGTAAGCTGTTTTTCCACACATTTTAAATGTCGTTTTTGTGGTAAAATGAGGTGCCTCAGCTGATATTCGGATCAGTTTATACTCGAGTATATACGGTAGTTTGTGCCACACAGGTACTTTAGCTTAGTCTTGCTGATTTCTGAAACAGAAAAAGATAACCCCTACCTAATCTTCTAGTACCACTGGAATAGCCACTCCACATATAAATATGGAATACGTGAATGAGGTCGTTGAGAGGATTTCATAAAATATTTAGCTCAGTCGCTGGTACACTCTAAGGGTCAGCAAGCCATTGATCCCAGACCCGGTATGGAAACTCCGTAAAGTCTTGTGTTTTGTTGACTGGCAGCTGGATTGGCATTCCAGTGGCCAGCAACGATTTAAGGAACCTAATGTCAGATCTGAATTTTCTATTTATTCCTGTCATTAGAAAGTGTTTTCCCTACATCTTTTAAGAGAACAGGTTTACTTTTACTTAGGTTTTGTTGAAGTACTAAACCTTCTTACAAGGTGCACTTAAAGTGATTAGTTATCAGTCTTCGAGGTTTGTTGTGGGTCTTGCAACAATGAAAGAGACTCCTTGATAGTTATTTTATTTGCATTTGGGTTTCCTTTTATCCCCCAGCATATTGCCCTTGAGAAGAAGGTGAAATGATAACGTTTTCTTGATTTTTCATGTACTGCTTTCACAATACAAAAGCTGAGATGGCTCAGTGGTTGATTTATAACAGTGTGTGTAATCATGGACCATGAGACTTATATCTATGAAAATGTTAGTAAGAATTTAAGAACTGATTGCATCTTGGGGTTCAACTATTTTCTGGGTACTTTTTCATTATTACAAAGGGATACATGTTCATTGTATATAATTGAAAGGCAGGAAAGCTCAAAGGAAAAAAAATCCTACCACTCAGGAATAAAACTTTTCTGCACACATTCTTGAAATCTGTCACCATACTCCCTCCCTAGAGAGATGTGAATGTATGAGGGGGTACCCCCCCAAACTGGAATTTATTTTTTTGTTTCCCCCACAAAGCAATTTATTTAAATTTTTTTACAAAACAATCTTATCACCTTCAAAGTCTCCCCGTGACACTGAATACAATAGTCAAATATGTGGTTCCATACTTGGAAACATTTTTCAAATTCATATGTTTGGATAGCGGAAAGCACCTCCCTCACTTTTTTCTTCAGCTCTTCTACATCATCAAATTGCTGTCCTTTCATGTCCTTCTTCATTTGCAGAAACAAAAAGAAGTCACATGGAACGAGGTCAGGTGAGGTGGGTGCATAGGGCAAGGAAGGCATGGCTGTATGAGCAGGTACACTGTTGTGCTGGCAAAAGCAGTCCGCCCCCTGCCACAAATCAGGCCTTTTTAATCTCACAGTTATGCAATCTTTCCAGAACCTCTAAATAGAAAACTTGACTAAATCTGACCTGGTGGAACAAAATCCAAATCCACTACAACTCAACATTTTCATCTGTTCAGGAACTTGACAGACATCCAGAACAAGGCTTGTCATCAATCAACATTTCACCTGATTTGAAACGAGAAAACCACTCGTGCCCTTGAGTTTTTCCCATAGCACGGTCCTTGTAAACTGTATTCAACATCACAACAGTTTCTGTGGCATTTTCCCTGAGCAGGAAACAAAATTTCACAACCGCACACTGTTCTCTTAAATTGGCCATCACAAAAAAATGAGGTTCGAGTGAAACTGCTTTTATGAAAAAAATTCACCTTCCCAGGGGATGCCACTGGGTGCACTAACTCAGAATGAGTTGTTTGATGCACAACTAGCAGGAAAAATGCGTACTACAAAAGCTCTGCCTAGCAGAGCTTTGTTCCTATTTTCTGGGGGGTACCGCCTTGTATATAAAGTTCACATCAAACTAAACTTAGTATTATATATCTTGCTTCTAAAATTAATTCATAATGCATTCATTAATTCAAGACAATTAATTATTTGCTGGGTACCAGGCATCACAAGATACAGAAATAAGGAGCACAGACATAGAAATAAATCATTATACTAACTGAGATTAAGTGCTAATTTAGGTCGAGATGAAGTACTATAAGGCCACACAAGGGAGAAGAGCTTCACAGTAGAGATAAAAACTGAACTTCTCCAACCAAGTAAGATATAGATAGGAGGAGGAAGCATGTCACCAGAGAATGACCCCAAAATATGAAAATGCATTGTTAATTTGGGAACCTACAAAAATTAACAAGGGTAAGGTGGTAGAACATTAGGGGAGATGAGGCTAGAAATGTAGGAGCCAGGCAATGAACAGCAACCGTAGGATTTGAAGCAGAAGACAGACATGCTCAGATGGATGTCTTGGTTAGGGTTAGAAAAAGTGGATTAAGAAACACAAGCAAAGGAACTAAGGAGGCGGATAAGAGAACTGACAAGGTGGACGGTAGTGAACATTTAATGAGAATGGAGATGAGTATAGTGTCTTGGAAATTATAATTAACTGAAAACCAAGAGATCTGAATTCTAGATAGGTAGACTTTCCATGAGTATGCTTCACACAAACACATGCTAAGCGCTAGAGATACAAAGATGGTATGTCCTGATTCCTATACCCAAAGATTTTACATTCCAGTAGGAAAGAATATGTAAGCCTGTATTGGTTTTACTTGTCCAGTATGAATTCTTCTCCTTTTCTTTACAGTATTCGTTTTCCTTTAGAGAAACCATGTATCTCTAAGTATCAGTCCATGCAGTTCGGGTGGAAATGCTCTCTACCCATTCTAAGAGTCGGTGGATTTAGGTGAACTAAATCAAATAAAAAGGAGCATTATCCCCCCTCTGAATACAAAGACGGATAGGCACATGGTTCTAGGCAGGCCAACATCGATAGCCCTGAGGGGTCTATCTGAAGGAACCAAAGAGAAAGAAATCACCACCTTCTTCTAAGATCCTAGGTGTTGAAAGCTACTGTGGAAGTTACATATTCATTTGTCGATTTGAGAGGATTAAGAATGAAGGGGTGGAGTCTAGTCTGTCAATTGGGTCACAGCAAATGAGGCCTCTATGTGGGCATGGCCTTCTCCTGAGGATTCAGGGAACTCAATATTTCCTCTTTCGAGGTGGGAGTTTCTCTCTCTCTCTCTTTCTCGCTCTCCTCACTCCCTACGAGACGCTTTACTGACAAGACACATGGAACTATATTAGTGCCCTGAGCTGAAGGAACCACTTGAAGATCCCTGCCAGAGCTGAGATGTTTTCAAAGCCACTGGATCCACAAGACTTCCCACCTACTGGCCTGTGATCTTCCTGCATTCAGCTTCATTGCATGTGTTTCGTGAGTCTGAAGAGGCCTTTCTAGATTGGTATTGGACATATGGGATAATATTGGACATATGGACTTGATCTGGACTGAGCTGGGATGTTTTTTCAATATTCAATTGCTCTTGTATATAAACCTCTTTCTACACATATGAGTGTTTATGAATTTGTTCTCTAGTCTACCCAGACTAAGCCAACTACATATCCCTTGAGCTATTAGAGTTCCTGTATATTTTCAGGATGAAGTCACACCAAGGAAAGCCAAACCAGGAGACAGAGAACACTGAAGAGATACCATCTTTTGGGAAAGTGGATTTAGGGATGACATAACCCAGACATTCAAGTGGGGTATATAAAATTTCCCTTTTTTGGTAACAAATCCCCTCCTGGCCACGAGGAGTTTAATCTAGATTTTTGTCACTTGCAATTGTTACTGTTTTTAATTGCTATCCAGTCAACTCTGATTCACCGAGATCCCCAGATGTGGAGAATGGAAGTGCCCAATAGGATTTTTGAGGCTGTAAGCAGTAAATCCCCAAGCCTGTTTTCTAAAGTACCTTTCGCTAGTTTCTAACCACCAACCTTTTAGCTAGTAGTTGAGTGCTTAACTATTTGTATCATCAAGGAAATAATTTAGGAAAGCAGATACCATACCAAACCCATTGCCATAAATCCATTGAGATTCATAGTGACCCTGGAGACCAGTGTAGAACTATTGCTATAGAGGTTCCAAGACTATCTTTACAAAAACCAACTGCCAACACCCACCCCACTGATTACCCACCGCCCACCGCCAGACTAGTGGGTTCAAGCCACTAACCTTTAGATTAGCAGCCGAGTTCTTAACCACTGTGCTATCAGAGCTCCTTTGGGAGACAGACTCAGAATGCTCTAATTGCAATTCCGTGTGATAGATGGTAAAATGAGGAATTTACCAGGTACAAGTAGCACAGAGGGGAGTGCAGTCAACTCTCCTAGCAGGCTAGAGAAATCAGAGAAATGTTCACAAAGGAGGTGGTGTTAGGTGAAGTCTTGTCATCTGAAAATAGGATAGAGGGCAAAGAGAGATTGTGGACAAAACAAAGAGCAAGAGCAGTGGCGAGGAAACAGCATGGAATACTTGAGGAACTAAAGGTGAACCGTGATGCTAAAGCACTAAGTTCACAGCAGAAAGCAGATTGCTTTGCAGGCAATGGAGCAGGGCTCCTCAAACTTTTGAAACAAAGGGCCAGTTCACTGTCCCTCAGACCCGTTGGAGGGCCAGACTATAGTTTAAAAAAAACTAAGAAAAAATTCCTATGCACACTGCACACATCTTATTTTGAAGTAAAAAAACAAATGGGGCAAAAACACCCAGTGGGCCGGATAAATGTCCTCAGTGGGCCGCATGTGGCCCGCGGGCCGTAGTTTGAGAACGCCTGCAATGGAGCATCCTTAGATAACCAAAGCAAGTCATTCCACCTCTAATGTTTACCTCTGGATCACAATTTGCTCACTGTTAAAGTAGACCGGGCCAGATTACTTCTGAGGTTCTGTACCTCAGTATCTCACCTAAACACATTATTACAAATTGATACAAATACTAAAATAGCTTACCTGCTGATAAAATTCATCATCTTTGGGAGTCAGATAGGGAAGCCATGTGTCTTCAAGCTCTTCGAGAAGCCTCAGTTTCTGTCGAAAATCAATAACATGTACATATGACTTGAATATGAAGCAACCCAAACTACAGGACAATCCCTTATTTTCCCAATGGAGAAAACACCAAAATAATTTAACCAATTTGAGTAGACACCGTTAGCGAGATAAATTAGTCAAGTGCCAATTACAACAAATACTAAGTTAATTAACACAGATTTAAGCACATATAGTGAATGAAACATTAAGATGTCACTTTACATTTCATGAGAAATCTGATGTAAGCTCTTCACACATATCTTTGACATGAGGGTCTTTCTGTCAGTACTCACCTTGTAAGTCATCCAGTACATTTCCCAGAGAAAATCTTTCAGTCTGTATATACACGCAGTTTGAGATACCAAAAACCACACTGAACTCACTGCCCTGGAGTCGATGCCAACTCACAGCAACTCTATAGGACAGGATAGAACTCCCCTTGGGAGTTTCCCAGACTATAACTCTGTCTGGGGGTAGAAAGCCCTCCCTGTCTGCTGTGGAATGGCTGGTGGTTTCAAACTGCAGACTGTGGGGTTAGCAGCCCCACGCATAATCACTATACCAGCTGGGCTCCTCTATTTGAAACACAGTAGTTTTTCAACCCAAGCCACAACATTCACTTGCATAACATCAGGCTATTTGAAAATTTCATTCATTCTGTCAACATTCATGTAAGATCAAATCCATTTATGCCCTTTTAAAACAAGCTTTGATTTCTATAACATCTTGGCTTATTTCCTTTCTCCTTCTATCACAAAGCATTGTAAGCACCCACAGCTAGCATTGTCTGAGGCTATTTCAGGCTTCTATCGTCTATCTCTTCCCCCAATAGCTCTGAGATATACAAACAAAGTAAATAAAAACCAAAACTGACTGCCAATGACATGATTCTGTCTCATAGCAACCCCACAGAACAGAGCAGTACTGCCCCATTGCATCCAAGGGTAAATCTTTAGGCGAGCAGACAGCCTCATCTTCCTCCAAGGAGCAATTGATGGATTTGAAATGCTGACCTGGCGGTAGCAGCCCAATACAAAACCCACTACACCACCATGGCTCCTTAGAGTAAATGAGGAGGACCTTAAACTATGAAATATTTTATAATGAATCAAATACATATAAAATGACTCTGAGGGATATTTTCCAAAAAATACTTGATACTCCATTCAATCATATATAGAATGTATGCCATATGTGTATGCTCATACATATAGCATATATGTATCCGTATAAAGACACACATACACATAGACATGTGAATTCTCTACACATTTTCTAGCATACACCTTTCTTTATAATGGAGAAACAACCAGTTTTCAAATAAAACCAATTAAGTGCAATATCAGAGCGATTGTCAAGAAGGCACTTTTCTAACAAACAGAAAACAGTCCCCATCTGTTTTTATCCCTTCTCTGTGCTGGGGGCATAGTGCTGATGAATTGGGCTGCTAACCAGCACAGTCAGCAACACAAAAGCACCAGGCGCTCCTCAAGAAAAACCCTGGGCTTCCTACTCCTGGAAGGAGTCAGTCTTAGACACCCCGGGGCAGTTTTGCTCTGCTCTATACAGTCGCTGTGAGTCTGCACCATTTATTAAGACCTTTCCGCCTTGCTGCCTTAGTGAAGCCAATCTTAGTCGATTCAATTGCCTAGGAAAGAAAGAGTATCTTGAGAAATTGATTGATCATAAATTGCTTTTATAAGGCAATTAAGATGGCTTTTTTAAAAGGCAAAGTCACTCGTGGCAAAACGGAGGAAACAGGCCCTCTTACACTTTGCTGTCAGGAGTACACAACAGCCTAAGTCCAACAAGGGCACATGGCAACTCCTTCTCAAATTCAAAACCATGTCCCTACTGACCCTGCAGTGCTGCTGCTGCAGTGTGACCCTACAGAGACACTTGCACAGCAGTTCAACCCCATGAGTTGCTCTGCAGGAGAAAGAATGAGGGTTATTGTCCCATGAAGATTCACAAGCTCAGTTTGGGGTATGACATATATATATGTGACCGAAGCCCCGGCAGCATAAGGTTACCCATTGGGCTACTGATGGCAAGACCACCTATTAAAAACATCAATTGCTCTGCAGGTGAGTTACACAAGAGTGACAGTCTTGGAAACTCACAGGGGCATTTCTACCGTGTCCTATAGGGTCGCTAGGAATCGGCGTCGACTCGACCGGCAGTGAGGTTTGAGAGATGGATATGTAAAATGTTTGAGTTTTCCCCAGGGAGGTCGTCTTTACGACTCATGCCTTTGCTAAAGGACTTGGTCAACTTCCCACATATTATTCAAATTTTGACAAGATCACAGGATCATATTTACATTGAAAAATCATCAGCCTTTGTGATTGTATGTTGCCAAGACTCAGCTACCAAAATGAAATCTGTATAGAACTTGACAAAATATGATGCATTGTTTACAACGTACGGTACGGAAACGACAAAGGGATAAAGCCCATGAGCTGTAGGCAGCGTGATCCTGAAGGGACAGGGGTGGGAGGGAAAATGTGACTCTTCTTTTGTGGAAAGGAGCATCCTCACCTTGAGTCTCTGCTAGACTCCCAAACCCAGTCTTTACTGGCCAGACCTGATACGACTTCACTTTCCACAGTGCTGCCAAGACGCAGGGTTAGAGTACAGTGTCTGACAGGCAATTTCAAACCTATGGTGTGGAATTGAAGAGCGTTTTCTGGAAGGTTGTGCAACCCTTCTCCTTGCTGGGAGCTGTGGAAATGGGCGGTAGCCTGCACGGATGGGTCTTCAAATGCTCCTCCTGCCAGGTGGGAGCACCGGGTTTTGAGCGTGCTCTGGCATTCTCTGTGGCATTTGTGAGCAGCTTGATGTATTTGACACGAGTGTGACAGCAAAGAAATGTGTGAGCAGAGCAATGTGCTGCAGGGCCCAGCTGTGTGGATTTATCTGTACATCAGGCCGAGGAGCCGCAGTTAGCCAATCTGACAATCAAACACAGCTTCCTTCTTCCTCCACTCCAGAGTGCATTTTAATGTTATGTGTGTTTACCAACTGGTTGGCATTTGATGCAGACAAAGAAATTGTCAGAGCTGCCCCCACCCACCACACTTTTTTTATAATGTGATATAAAAAAATTTTTTATAGTCTGTGATAGTTTCCCAAATAAATGCTTTACTGTGTACAAATAAAAGCATGTGCATTTTCTAAACACAACCAAAATTTAGGTGTTCTTCTACTTTAAACTGAATTTCATCCTCTGGATTAATAATGGTGGTGGCAGCGTGAAGGGGAGAAGATGTCAAGGAGTCCATGTAGAAAAGGAATGTTTGGAAACTGACTGTGGTAGCAAATGTACCATTCTGCTGGATGTGCTTGACCTATGGAATGAGATGATAGATGCATTAGTTCCTAATTAATAATAAATTGGAAAAAAGTGTTCTGCTTAGAATCTTTTTATTAAAAAAAAGTTAGATGAAAGACAGTGAATAGATAATGTGTATACAGCTCAAAAATCAAAACAGTATAAAATAAGGATTGATAACCTTGACTTTGTCCTTTCAAATATTGCTTCTGCTTAGAGTCTTTATTTTACAAATTGAATAAAAATTTTGAATTCATAATGCTTATGTCATGAAATCATCAAAGACAATATAAAATTGAATATTTTGAATAATTTTGCTCCCAACCATCTCTCATTCTAGTCAATTTCCAAATCCACTGCTGACTTTAGTCCTCTGTTGCTTATCCTTTATGCGGGCTAGGCATTCGGGTACGAATAGAAAGGTGTGGGGTTCAAACTCACCCACTGCTCCCAGGGAGGCAGATAAAGCTATCTGCTCCCATAAAGACCTCCCCTCTTGAAAACCATCTATGGGATCTCACAACGACAGTAGAGGTGTTGCCTACCTTTTTGTAGTTTTTGTTTCGAGCTACAATTCATATACCATATCATCTACTCTTTGAAAGGCTACAATTAGGTAGTTTGGGGTATGTTTTCAAGCGTTTGTTTGGCAAATAGTGAAGCAGTGAGTAGCCTTGTGCAACTATTCCTTTGAACATGGTGCAAGTGTATCTGTAGCGTCACACTGCAGCAGTAGCACTGCTGGGTCAGAGGGAACATGCTTTTGAATTTGGGAAGGAGTTGCCATGTGCCCTTGTAGGACCTAGGCTGTTGTGTATTCCTGACAGGAGAGTCTAAGAGGGCCTGTTTCCTCCGTTTTGCCAAGAGTGACTTTGCCTTTTAATAAAGCCATCTTAATGGTCTTATAAAAAGAAATTTATAACCAGTTTTTTAAAATACTGAATTATAGCTCAAAGCAAAAAAAAAAAAAAAGGTAGGAGACAACTCGTGTCCACTCCTACATAACCTACGGTCCACTGGCATCAGGTGGATTCTAACTCACAGCTGAAAAGCCTCATTGTTCTCCCTAAGAATGGCTAGTGGGCTTCCACCACCATGTTTTGCAATTAGTAGAGCTAACTGAGAGCTCCTTTGTTAAATGGAGTATGTGACGGTCACAGTTCCCCCTCAGAGCAGCAACTGGTGACATGAGGGTTCGCAGCCCTGCTCATAACTACGACCATATTTCCTTTAAATACAAAGGAGGGATTGAATGATTAAAAAACAAAAACAAACAAACAAAAAAAACCTCAGCATTCACCTTTCTGTTCTCATTGCAAATATAACTTGTTAAAAATAAACGCACAGTGAGCTCCGATCAATTGATGTGGTCCCTCCAGCCATAGCCCTTTATATATTACAGTTCTTGACCATATTCACCTGTGGCTATAGTCCTGTTTTAAATGGCATTCTCTCCTGTGCTCCTGGACAGGAGTAGGGTGGGATTGAGGCCTGACCTTTGTGCAAGGGGGGGCCCAAGCCACATCCTTTGCTTCCTTGAGGGCATCTTGAGGATTCCACCTTAGAACTGGGTGGGACCAGGCCACACCCTTTGTTTTCCTTGGCCCTACCATACAGTTCCACACATACCACCTCACCTGGAAAGCCAGACCTCTATTCCTGA